CAATAATCTTCAGGTAATTGATTATCCACACAAACTAAAGTTTACCTTGTAAAACCCCAGACCACATTTATGGATATATTTTCGGCAACATTCTCTTGATATATTTAAACCAGTTACAGTATTCCATTTAACTGTTACTTCGCGAAGGGTACTTCTTCTCCCAAATTTTTACTAAATTTCGTAAATCTCTTTGAGATACAACTTTTAGCCTTCCCGAACTTTTACCTCTAATGTCTACATTGGCAGATTCGCCGTATTTTTTAAATCATCAGAAATTTTTCGAATTGTTTATGCTGTACTGTATTGATAAATGATAATTTCGCATAGTTTTTGATTTGTAGCTTTTCCACGGACCATTACTTTGAATTAAATAATTAACAAAATTGAAAATTAAAAAAATTAAAAGTACTTACAGTAAATCTCACTATTCAAAGTATCGAGTCACTTGCAAATTGTCAATGCTGAAGTAAACAGTTTGCGACATTTGTGACGTTTACAGCAAAGCCGCCTATGATGATATTAATTATTTAAAAATACTTGTCCCAACATTTAGTTGTCAGTAAATTTGTCCTTTTATGAACAAAATCCGCTACTGTAAATATGGATTGATTTACAAATTCATAAAAATATTGTCAAGTTGTTTAGGATATATGGCTATGTTTATATTTAAAAAATTAAACATATATTTTTCAGTCATTTTGAAACACCAGGGCAATAATTCCAAAATATGACCTTGTCCCAACATATAGTTGTTAGGGCTCGTATAACATTCGATAAGTTCTTTGACAAATTAATCACTGCCATGTTTTGGAAATATACATACCCTAATAATAGTACACAGAATACTTAGAGTGTTTCAATGTTTCTTGTTTGGGTAAATTACGTGTTCATGTAATAGAGCCAATTAGAATTTTGTGTTAGCAGATTTTTAGTACAGTGGAATATAAAACACTTTTCCAATAACACTAACTTGTTGTAGCATCTGTCGTCCAAAATCTGTAATTTATCCTTTTTTAGTTTGGTATCTAGCGTCATTCCAGATACTTGACCTCCCCCGGGAGATGAATTCCTTCAATACAGAGTCTTAGTGGTCCTAGTCTCTCTAAAATTCTTCGCTTGGTGAAGGAGATATTAATACGGTTTTTTTATAGGACTAATATTTAGTCCTTCCCGTGTCACCGATGATTCCACAAGCTTTTCAATATCTCTTCACTAGCAGCTCTTCTCAGCAATTTTTATGTTTATTCATTTTGTATCTCTACATAAAATACAGTATCTGTCTGTTTTACTGCCTGCCTTTACACGACTGTAATGGATATACAATATACATAATATTATGTACTTAATATTTTCACAAATTTGTATCTGTACTAAAAAGTTTTATTTCTGCATAACTCAAATTACACTGAATAGAATTGCAAAAATGGCATAAATTGATATGGTATTTTCCTAATTTTGTTATGTATCTTACTTATGTAAAAAGTATAATAAATACAACCAATGTAGCAATCTGGAAATTTCTTACATTTGCTCATATTTGATGAGCACCCACGAGGTTTTAATTGCCCGGCGCGCATATTCGTAATTCACCGACACATTAGCCGCTCGGATTAGGTCGGGTACAGCGACGGACGATTGCTAAAATACCGACGTATTAAGCCCCGTTCTCAGAACTGCGACTGTCGCCAGCGACACGACAAAAGAACCAATCAGATTTGTACAAAATTCAAACAGCTGTCAATTTTAAATTTAGTACAGCTCCCATTGGTCGTTTGAAGTGTCAATCAGTGTCGCTGTCGACACGACGCAGTTCTGAGAACGGGGCTTTAGACTAGTCCCAACCCTTATGCGTCGGTGATTTACGAAAACGAAATACTGTTGTCTGCATATTGCATTACAGTATAGGTTATGGTAAATCGAGAACTGTTAGAAAATTATACAAAACTGACTTGAACAGAAATTATCTTTCATACTAAAATTAAACTTTACGGTGTATTCCATTTAATATAAGCAATATGATTTTCAAAAATTTTATGAAGCAATTTTCAATTTGTCATTTTTAGTATAAAATTCTAACTAAAATTTAAAACTTAAAAAACATACTTTCTGTTAGATAAAGATTAATGGCGAAATGATGGTGGATTACTTTGTTTATAGACATTACTAAACAACTAAAGTCTAAGAAAAACATATTAGCAAAAATATATATGAATATAAAAACATTAAGACATATTTTTATTTTTTGCATTTATTACATCCTAATTCCATATTTTTTTTTAATTTTGTATCTAGAAGAAATTGTTTGATAGTTACTAATAATTTTACTGGACAGTCTATATTTCGTGAATTCCTTTTGCGGCTCGCTTCCCTATTTTTCTTTGTTTGCCATCAAAATGGCAGTCATGAAATCTCCTAAATACTTATTAGACGTAGTATCAGAGCCAATCTTAAAATGTTTTTAAAACTCTTTCAAAAAATTCTCTTCTAACATTTACCAAGGCACTTATCCATTCTATAATAAAATAAAAATAAACTAAAATTTACTCGCTAAGCAGTTTTAAGCTTCCATGCCGATAATAGAATGATTGGAGCCTTAATAAAGGGTAAGTTAAGTTTTAAGACTTATCGCAAGTACCGTATGATCGAAAAAAAAACATCGTCTAGTTGGTTTGGAAACGATGATCATTGACATTCCTTACATAATTTTACATACAAAATGACAGTTATCTTTATTCCAATGCCAGCTCTGATGCCATTTTTGTAATCGTATGGTATATCTAGCATTCGCATGAAAGCGTATAAGCTCAGAATATCTAGCTACGCAACAGAAGCCTCGTTACATGTATAAAATTGTAGGTATCAAAAGGAGACAGGCTTTAAAAGCCTGTCTCCAAATCAGATATTTTGATGCGGTAGTTTCGCTACTACATAATAGAGGGCGATAAATTTAAAAGAAAATAGTTTTCTACAATCGAAATTTAAAAGAAATTTTGTGCAGTGTTGCCATTGTGTAATTCATATTGTAATACTTTCTGATAAATCCTACCTTCAATTTGCTACATCATTTAAACATATTAAAATAGATCAGTGCTCTTTTTCAAACGTTTAGTCAGGTTTAAGTACGTATTTAACTTGCCATATTAGTTGGGGTTCAATAATCAGTTCCTGACGTTTGATTGTAATTGAATCCTGAATTTTGATTGTAATTCGGCGACAATATAATAAGTATTGTTCTACTATTATGATACCACTTTCTGACGTTCAATTGTGTTCATACTTTATACCGTATGATCGGGGAAAAACGGCGTTAGCGATAGCTATGAAATGAAGATCGCTGTCATTTTATATGGGAAATAGTATACTATAATATAGTACCATATTACGATACATGGCGTTCGATTGAGCTTAAACTTGGTATCTACTTATCTTTAGTAACATTGTAATATTATGGTTCCATGGAGCATATAAAGTGGTACCTTCTATAGTACTACATTATGATACCACTTCCTGATGTTCGATTGGGCTCGTATTTGATATATACTTGCATATTTTTGATGACATTGCAATATTATAGTACCATGAATCATATCAAGTGGTACCATACTATAATATAGCACCATAATAGATACATGGCGGTTGATATAGGGCTTAAACTTGGTATACTACGTATCTCCGGTGACATTGTAATTTTGTGGAACCATGGAGCATATAAAGTGGTACCTTCTATAGTACTACATTATGATACCATTTCCTGGCGATCGATTGGGCTTAAACTTGGTATACTACGGATCTTCGGTAAATTTGCAATATTACGGTACCTTGAAGCATATCGAGTGGAGTCCAATATTATGATATCATCGTCGATTGGGCCCTAATTTGGTATAGTTACGTTTCTTTATAAAGATTTGTTGTGTGTTACTGCATTTTAATAAAATATTTCCATTATTATTAAACTTATATTTCATTACTAACTTTCCAGCATTAATAAATATCACTATCAATCGCCCTGTATATTTTTAAAGGTAATTAAATGTATTTTCTTAGTTAACAATATAAGGTTGTGTATATTAAAAATGTATTTTTTGAGTATATGTTTTGTAATAATATACTTAAAACTATTTTAAAAGCCAAACGAACAATTAACATAAGTGTGTCTGACAAGAAAAGAAGAATAGAAAGAAACTATTATACACCAGAAAAAGAATGGGATGCCAATTAAAGGTCTTTTTGAATCTGGCAACTGTGCATATTTAGGCGAGCTTCAAGGCCGTCGATGTGCCGTCGATCTAAAACCGAAAGTTCAAAATTTCCAATTATATTCTGATTATGATATTGTCGCGCCATCTAGTATTTTATTTGTGCAATTTTAGCTCTTTCATTACAAGTATTTTTCTGTTGCGTAGCTAGATATTCTGTGGTATAAGACTTTTGCGCAGTATAAACAAAAGCTGTGCTATTTCTATTTATTTTATATTAATGATACATTAATAGCATTACTGTTATTATTTAAATTCTCTGCAAAAAGCAGCATCTACAATCTAAAATCTGTTTATATCAGTAATCTGTAACCTCAGTTTATTGGAGACTATTTATTTATCAGGTACAGCTGGTAATGTCTTAAAATCCATGTTTTTGAATTAGCAATCTGCTCGAAATGTGCTAATCACTGGAAAACAATGAAAACCAATACAGACGATTACTGATTGATCATAAAAAATTACGCAGATCAAATTAATCCGATTTACAAACTTCCGAAGAAAGTAACAATATTTTAAGCGCATCGCAAATCGCCAACGTATTAGTCTAATACGACGGCACTTTACGCAGCACCCGAACTATCCTGAGCGGCTAATGTGTCGGTGAATTCCGAATATGCTCCCGGCGCTCCTGAATTTGAGCTTTTATTAGTAATTGTTAACAATCACTGATTTCCGACTTTTACTGTAACATTATTTACAATATCAGATGTAAACATTTCTAATTTTAGTTCTTTGTTTCAGATAACAAAATGGATAATACTGATTTTCGCCACTTCGATTATTAGTCGCTGTACTACATATCCTTTTGGCTATGAAAGTGATTGCGATGAAATCGATAATTGTATAGGATACAGTGACCGATGTTCAGATACCGAATGTGATTCTGATAATTGTCATAGTGACTCATGCTGTTCTTCTTGTGAAAATACATGTTGTTCACGCTGTGAGAAATCTCGTGCATGTACATGCAATACGAATTGTCGCAGACGGACTTGTCATAATAGAAATTGTTGTCCTCCCAGACCCATACCGCCCACACCTTCACCGCCCACAGCTTCACCGTGTCGGTTTGTATCCACACCCGAACCATCACCGGATAATAAGGACTACAGGCAAAATTCTAGTGTAGTGATTGAAAATACTATTACTTCTGAAAATCATATCAACATACCTATTAATATAACGCTTAATAACGAAAATAATATTGTTATAACAAGCAGAGATGAAAGAACGGACGTAATTAAAAACGGATCAGATCGTTGTCCGAACTGTATACCTCCCATTAAAATTCCTATACCATACTATGTTACTATACCAGAAAGGCGTCCAGTACATCATGGATGTTGTCAAGTCGTGCAACCTTGTACTCCTTACTCTTACAGTGGGTGTCGTATGACATCCCACCAATGCTCCTCGTCATGTTTGGACAGCTACATGTACAACCCGATTAATGTTTGTGAGGGCGGTTGTTATAGAAACCAGATTAGCATGGGCCATCAGTGCAGTTCTGGTGGATGTTATCAGGACACTATCGATTGCTCGAGGTGCGATGAACATTTTTATCAATCTTACGAAAATTTCATGATGTGCTCAGGATGTTTCAGACCTTCCCAGTGGGGATCATATTAAATACATTACAGGACGATACAATAGATATACTTTTTGTGATTATAATGGTAACCATATTATATTAATATAGTATTCTTCTAATAAAGGAGTTTCATTGTTATAAGTTAAGTTATATCAATTCCGAGATTAAACGTAAGATAAAAGGTTTTACCCATCAATTGTTATAAAGGGTCAGTCCTCAATAAGTGCACACACACACAAATGTTTCCAGGGCTGGTAGATCTCCATAAAAGAATAATTTTCTCTTTACCGTTTTTCCAAAATAGGCCCAGTTATTTTACTTTGAAAATTTTGAGAAAAAATTGCTTAAATTTTGAAAACCACTGGATTCTTTCTGTGATTTCGTTCCTTTAAATTTAATCTACTATCTATGTGGCCATTATTAAGAGATTATATTACGATTATATCCACACCCAAACCGTCACCGGATGACAATGACTACAGGCAAAATTCTAGTGTAGTTATTGATAATACTATTACTTCTGAAAATCATATCAACATACCTATTAATATATCGCTTAACATTGAAAATAACATTGTTATAATAAGCAGAGATGAAAGAACTGAGGTAATTAAAAACGGATCAGATCGTTGTCCGAACTGTATAACTCCTATTATAATTCCAGTACCATACTATGTTACTATACCAGAAAGGCGTCCAGTACATCATGGATGTTGTCAAGTCGTGCAACCTTGTACTCCTTACTCTTACAGTGGGCGTCGTATGACATCCCACCAATGCTCCTCGTCATGTTTGAACAGCTACATGTACAACCCGATTAATGTTTGTGAGGGCGGTTGTTATAGAAACCAGATTAGCATGGGCCATCAGTGCAGTTCTGGTGGATGTTATCAGGACACTATCGATTGCTCGAGGTGCGATGAACATTTTTATCAATCTTACGAAAATTTCATTATGTGCTCAGGATGTTTCAGACCTTCCCAGTGGGGATCATATTAAATACATTAGAGGACGATACAATAGATATACTTTTTGTGATTATAATGGTAACCATATTATATTAATATAGTATTCTTCTAATAAAGGAGTTTCATTGTTATAAGTTAAGTTATATCAATTTCGAGATTAAACGTAAGATAAAAGGTTTTACCCATCAATTGTTATAAAGGGTGAGTCCTCAATAAGTGCACACACACACAAATGTTTCCAGGGCTGGTAGATCTCGATAAAAGAATAATTTTCTCTTTACCGTTTTTCCAAAATAGGCCCAGTTATTTTACTTTGAAAATTTTGAAAAAAAATTGTTTAAATTTTGAAAACCACTGGATTCTTTCTGTGATTTCGTTCCTTTAAATTTAATCTACTATCTATGTGGCCATTATTAAGAGATTATATTACGATTATATCCACACCCAAACCGTTACCGGATGACAATGACTGCAGGTAAAATTCTAGTGTAGTTATTGAAAATACTATTATTTCTGAAAATCATATCAACATACCTATTAATATATCTCTTAACATTGAAAATAACATTGTTATAATAAGCAGAGATGAAAGAACTGACGTAATTAAAAACGGACCAGATCGTTGTCCGAACTGATAAACAAACAAAAAGTATAACTCCTATTATAATTCCAATACCATACTATGTTACTATACCAGAAAGGCGTCCAGTACATCATCGATGTTGTCAAGTCGTGCAACCTTGTACTCCTTACTCTTACAGTAAAAAAAATCAAAAGTTGTAGTCATTTCCGGTGAAACAGGAAGTGACCGAAAACAATTGAATACGTCAATAATCAATCCTAATTTGTGACAAATCTTTTCAGATTCATCTTTTTTTGTTATGGGTAGCTTGACTATTTTATAATTATAAAAAAATAAGTTGAGCGGAAGGCAAACTTGGATAAGAAGTACACCGACTCTTTGGGGCGTATGTTTAATGCTTTGTCTTGATGATGTTAGTTACACAAATCTACTATATAACTTACTTCAATTGCGGCCCAACCTCTGCTCGAAAATCTGTAGCTCTTTTCTCGAGTCCTTTCTGGACTGCTCTGGAGATCTGCTCGTTCATAATGATCTTATTTATATACTTTTAAAACACTTGGTTATTTTTATTATAGAAATAAATGGGCCGAGTTTTTAAAGAAACATTTAAATTTAATATTAAAAAAAATTAAAGAACAACAAAAAAAAAATATATAAGATAAAAGTTACTTATTACTATTAAAAATAGAGAAATAGATAAATACAGGAAACTTGTCTGGTGTCTGCTTTATTGAGAAATAATGGCAATTACTTAATAAATTGAACCTTTCGTTACTAGATCAACACAATAAAATAATATTCAAGAAGGACAATAAAACAGAAATTAAGAATATTTGACAAAATGACTTAAAAAACAACTATTGTCAGACACCAGACTTAAAATTATAGGGAGGGAGAACCGTCTCTTTTAGAAACTTAAACCGAACTAAATTTTCTGCCTAACAACAACCCCGAGGTTCCAACATGCAGGGTTGAAGGGTGGTGAATTCGGTACTTAGCCAATAGGATCATCCCTAAAGGTACTGTTCTTTGTTTGATAGGTCAGCTTGACACCGCCCTTCAAACCAAGTTGGTTCGACCTCCCTTTGTTAGATGGCAGTACTATGACCATTTTAAGTATTTAATCCTCGTTTGGCGCCATTTACATCTAGGTACGTGCTTTTCTAAAGTTCCCAGATCCTTTACAAACATCCGGCGATAGTTAAACATGTTATCAAGGGTGGTTATTGGTTTTACAACGTCCCAGCGTTTTTATCTAAGGTCTATCTTTACAATTTTTCTGTTTACTTCTAAGTTCTACAGTTTATTTGCTTTGTCCTTCTATAAGTTTGGGAATTTAAAAATATTCACGTTCGAAAAAGATGTTTGTTTTATTACTTCCTGTTAAAAAGATCCTCTCCCGAAACTAACAACCGAAAACATCGACTTGAACGTAAAGGACATAGGAAATAATCTGTTAATAGTATAAATAATAATATAAAGGACATAATGTTACATTTATGTCCATATCCATGATAGTAAGACCCATGATTACTTATGGAGCAGTTGCCTGGTACACAAAACTAGAGCAACGGACGGTAAGGCTAAACCTATGCAAAGTCCAGAGACTAGCATGTGTTTGCATCACAGGAGCCATGAGAACCTGTCCAACAGCAGCAATGGAGGTCATTCTAGATCTAACACCACTGCACATTGTCATTGGTAGATATGCCAATGCGACAATGATTAGAATGGTCACTAACGGAATTAGTACTGGGAGAATTGTCAGATCAGGGGCTTGGAACACCCTCAAAAAGGAAATACAACTCATGCAACTCCCAGTGGACGATATGCCAAGAACGTACAACTTTGACAAACATGTCAATGTAGTATTGAGCAATAAGAAGGATTGGAAGAGCGAAACGCTTGCCCAGCAGTTAAAAGACCATACCATAACTTGGTATACTGATGCTTCCAAAACCAATACGGGAACAGGGATCGGAGTGTTTGCGCCGAGAGCTAATTACTCCGAACCAATGGGCACTTACCCTAGTATCCTACAGGCAGAAATCTACGCTATCGAGAGATGCGTACAACTTATCTTAGATAGGAACTATCGGAAACAAGAAATAGCCATCTTATCTGATAGTCAAGCAGCGTTAAAGGCGATCAACTCAGTATCAATCAATTCGAAATTGGTCAAAGAATGCATAGAGAAGCTGAATAAATTAGGCAAAGAAAACAAAGTCCTCCTACACTGGGTGCCTGCTCACCAAGGGATAGAAGGCAATGAAAAAGCAAATAATCTAGCTAGGAAAGCAGCGAACACTCCACTAACTGAACCAGAACCGTTCTGCTTTCCAAGTGGTAACCAACTCAAGGCGGAACTCAAGAACTTGGAAGATTCCATCCGCAACCTGGAATGGAAATTTTCCAATGGTCTAAGACACTCGAAGAAGTTTCTGAGGGCTTATGATGAAGAAAAATCACAGATCTTCCTGGGTCTGAGTAAGAACAATCTTCGGATTGTCACGGGGTTTTTAACAGGACACTGTCTCCTCAACGAACACCTCAGTAGATTGAAACTAAGAAGAAACGGCGAATGCAGATTCTGTGGGGAAGATGGGGAAACACCAGTACACCTCATCACTGAGTGCGCCGAGATGACAACCATTCGTGCCATGAATTTTGGTACGACTGATATTGGAGATGGAGAACTACCCTCTATAAAACCGTCCCAGATACTGGCTTTTGTCAAAGCCCTGGGACTGTATGATGAGTTATGATTCAAGAAAGGGGGACACAATGGATCTGTAAGGTCGAAGTGATTAACCCCCCTCCCACTCATTCTAAATTCTAAAAAAATTCTACATTTATGTCATATACTAACATACCAAACCTCGTTTTTTTAACAGAAAAAATAAAAAACTTATAGGGGTGAGCCACTTTTGAGACGCACCCGGTATAATCAGCAGTAAAGGCGGGAACATGAATTGAAACAGTAGTGATCAGCTTTCGAGTTAAATTTGTATCGAGCATGGTTGGTCAGTTTTTTTCTATTTATTGCTTTAAGTGAAATTTTACTTCAGCTTTATTTTTTGATTTAAATGGACTTAAAAATCAACCTGTTTTTTTGCGTATCTGTCAAATTTGACATTTAGAGAAATAAACCACTAAAAAATGTGTCAATTGATTGAATTTCCAAAACTCTATTTGAAATACTTGTTTTTTTTATGATTTTTATAAATTTCAGTTCGTTCGTAAGATTATTCTCTCTTTAACTTTAACTCATAATTCCGCGTTATATATTTTTAATTATACGTTAGTTTAGTGCTTAAAAAAAGTTCACTCTATTGGGATACAACTCTATTTCGCATTAGGTAGTTTTTCTCTGAAAAGAATAAATTGTCTTTTGATTATAGCATGTAAAGGTAATTTACGCCTAATAAATATTTCATAGATAAGAAGCGCTTTTCGTAGCTTTGTGGCATATATTACATACTACCAAAACAAAAATATATTAATACTAGCGTGTACCAGCGACTTCGTTTGCGTTGAATTAATTATTATATATATAGCAAGAATTTC